TGTTGAGGATCTCTTCGCCCGTGGCGCTATTCAAGTCCTTGTCTGTACCGCGACCCTTGCTTGGGGTGTCAACTTGCCAGCGCATACCGTCATCATCAAAGGCACTTCAGTATACTCTCCAGAGAAAGGTAGCTGGGTTGAGCTCAGCCCCCAAGACGTCCTGCAGATGCTGGGCCGTGCCGGTCGTCCACAATATGATACCTATGGCGAGGGCATCATCATCACAACCCAGAATGAGATCCAGTACTACTTGTCGCTCCTCAATCAACAATTACCAATCGAGAGTCAGTTCGTCAGTAAGCTCGTGGACAACTTGAACGCCGAGATTGTGCTCGGCAACGTCCGTAGTCGAGACGAGGGTGTCGAATGGCTTGGCTACACCTACTTGTTCGTCCGCATGCTACGTTCGCCCGGCCTCTATCAAGTTGGCGCGGAATACGAAGACGATGAAGCTTTGGAACAAAAACGAGTCGATCTGATTCATTCTGCTGCTTCAGTACTAAGGAAGTCAAATCTTATCAAATACGATGAGAAGACCGGCAAGCTCCAGTCAACGGAGCTAGGACGTATCGCTTCCCACTACTACATTACACACGGGTCTATGGAGACTTACAATAACCTGATCCAACCCTCAATCACGACCATTGAGCTGTTCAGGGTATTCTCCCTGAGTGCAGAATTCAAGTACATCCCCGTGCGTCAGGATGAAAAGCTCGAGCTTGCTAAATTGTTGGGCCGAGTTCCGATCCCAGTCAAGGAGAGCATCGAGGAGCCTCACGCGAAGATCAACGTGTTGCTGCAAGCCTACATCTCACGACTTAAGTTGGACGGTCTCGCCCTTATGGCTGATATGGTCTACGTCACTCAATCCGCTGGTCGTATTCTCCGCGCCATCTTCGAAATTACCATGAAGAAGGGATGGGCGTCTGTGGCCAAGACCGCCTTGGATCTTTGCAAGATGGCAGAGAAGCGCATGTGGCCAACCATGTCACCACTTCGTCAGTTCCCCAACTGCCCCAGAGACATTGTGCAGAAGTCGGAGAGAATCGAAGTGTCTTGGAGCAACTACTTCGACCTCGACCCTCCCCGAATGGGAGAATTGCTTGGCATGCCCAAGGCAGGCAGAACTGTCTGTGGCTTGGTTGCTAAGTTCCCCAGAGTTGAGGTTCAGGCTCAAGTTCAGCCACTGACAAGATCCATGCTTCGAGTCGAGTTGAGCATCGCTCCCAACTTTGAGTGGGATGTTGAAATCCACGGCCCGGCGGAAAGTTTCTGGATCTTCGTCGAGGATTGTGATGGAGAGGATATCCTCTTCAGTGACCAATTCTTGCTGCGCAAGGAATACGCCGAGTCTGAGTCGAACGAGCACATTGTCGACTTCACTGTGCCGATCACAGAGCCAATGCCCCCGAACTACTTCATCTCAGTTGTGTCTGATCGCTGGATGCATTCCGAAACAAGATTGCCAGTATCATTCCACAAGCTGATTCTTCCCGAGAGGTTCCCTCCCCACACTGAGCTCCTCGAGCTCCAGCCTTTGCCTGTTGCGGCGCTGAAGGCCAAAGAGTATGCCAAACTGTACCCTGACTGGGACCACTTCAACCGCATCCAGACGCAAACTTTCAACTCGCTGTACAATACCGATCAGAACGTGTTCGTGGGTGCGCCGACGGGAAGTGGCAAGACAGTATGCGCAGAGTTTTCTCTACTGCGACACTGGTCTAAGGCAGATGCTGGACGTGCAGTCTATATCGCACCCTTCCAGGAGCTGATCGACTCACGGCTTGACGACTGGCAGAAGAGGCTTGGCGGTCTCCGGGGTGGAAAGACTATTGAGAAGCTCACGGGAGAAACCACTACCGACTTGAAGATTCTGGAGCGTAGCGACCTGATTCTTGCGACCCCCATCCAATGGGATGTATTGTCCCGCCAGTGGAAACGCAGGAAAAACGTTTCCACTGTCGAGCTTTTCATTGCAGATGAGGTTCATCTGCTCGGCAATAACATGGGATATGTCTACGAAATCATCATTTCGCGAATGCACTACATCCGAACCCAGACTGAGCTGCCGATGAGGATCATCGCACTTGGTGTCTCCCTTGCCAACGCTCGCGACCTCGGCGAGTGGATCGACGCGAAGAAGCACGATATCTACAACTTCAGCCCGCACGTCCGCCCTGTGCCCCTCGAACTCCACATCCAGTCTTACACCAACCCTCACTTCCCTTCGCTGATGCTTTCTATGGCGAAGCCGACTTACTTGGCCATCACGCAGATGTCTGCTGACAAACCCGCTATTGTGTTTGTCCCGAGTCGGAAGCAAACACGAGCGACCACGCGTGATCTGCTGACAGCCGCCTTCATGGATGACGATGAAGACCGTTTCCTGCACGCTGAGGTAGAGCAGATGCGCCCCCTCCTCGATCGCATTTCCGAGGAAGCGCTTGCCGAGTCACTTTCTCACGGCGTGGGATACTACCACGAGGCTTTGAGTCAGAGTGACAAGCGCATTGTCAAGCACTTGTACGAGCATGGAGCTATCCAAGTGCTTGTTGCTTCCCGTGACGTTTGCTGGGAACTCAACAGCACTGCTCATCTCGTCATCGTCATGGGCACGCAATATTTCGAGGGTCGCGAGCATCGCTATGTTGATTACTCCCTAAGCGAAGTCTTGCACATGTTTGGCAAGGCACTCCGACCTTCGAAGGACGGCAGAGGCAGGGGTGTTCTTATGCTTCCGTCAGCCAAGAGAGAATTCTACAAGAAGTTCTTGAACGAGGCTCTTCCTGTTGAGTCACATCTCCACAACTACCTGCACGATGCCTTTGTCACCGAGATTAGCACAAAGATGATCGAGTCTGGTGATGATGCTATCAACTGGACGACATTCACCTACTTCTACAGGCGTCTCCTGGCTAATCCCAGCTTCTACAGCTTGACCAGCACTACTCAGGATGGTCTCAGTGACTACATGTCTGATCTCATCCAGACCACCCTGCAAGAGCTGAGCGACTCCAAGATCATTGAGCTTGATGAGGACGACGGCTCCGTTGCGCCGCAGAACGCGGCCATGATTGCAGCATACTATAACATCTCCTACATTACTATGCAGACGTTCCTCTTGTCTCTGAGCGCCAAGACCAAGCTCAAGGGCGTTTTGGAAATCATCACATCGGCTACCGAGTTCGAAGCTATCCAGATCAGGAGGCATGAGGAGGGCATCCTCCGCAGGATCTACGACCGTATTCCTGTCAAGATGGCAGAGCCTGTGTATGATTCGGCCCATTTCAAAGCCTTTGTCCTCCTGCAGGCGCATTTCTCGCGAATGCAGCTGCCGATTGATTTGGCTAAGGATCAAGAAGTCATCATTTCCAAGGTCCTCAGTCTCCTGAGTGCAACGGTTGATATTCTCTCATCTGATGGCCACATCAACGCCATGAACGCCATGGAAATGTCGCAGATGGTTGTGCAGGCGATGTGGGATCGCGATAGCCCCTTGAAGCAGATTCCTCACTTTACACCTGAGGTTGTGAAGGTGGCAAACGAATTTGGGTATGTACCAATTTATGCAATGTTGATCTGCAAAACTAACGTCGAATTCTCTCACAGTGTCAAGGATATCTTCGATTTCATGGAAGCCATGAACCCCGAAGAGAACCCGGATTACGCCAAATTGATCAAGCGTCTTGGCCTCTCGCAGAAGCAGTTGGGTGAGGCTGCCGCCTTCACCAATGACAAATACCCCGACATTGAGCTTGAACACAGTGTTTTGGATGAGGACGATATCAGAGCCAACGAGCCTGCGTACCTTAGTGTGCAGATTCAACGACAAGTGGAAGAGGATGAAGAGTTTGACCCGACTGTGCACGCGCCGTTCTACCCGGCCAAGAAGTTGGAGAACTGGTGGCTTGTGGTAGGGGAGCAGACGACGAAGAATTTGCTTGCCATCAAGCGTGTCACTATCGGACGAGAGTTGAAGGTGAAGGTGGAGTTTACGGTGCCAACAGCTGGTAAGCACGACCTTAAGCTGTTCCTAATGAGCGACAGTTACGTCGGAGTGGATCAAGAGCGCGAATTTTCCATCACGGCTGCGGAGGGTATGGACGTGGACGACAGCGATGAGGAAGAGGACGAGGAATAGACGGCTCGGCAGATGGCAGAACCATCTCGTCCGTACAATATCGCAATGTGTACTATATCGATCGAGAGAGGAGTTGAAGGTAATAGACAATTTTGGTCACATTCAGTTCTTCGCCCTCATCAGAAATCATCTACAGGCAGCTCTTGTCCTCTATCGACAGGGTTGAGTGGCCTGAAGACCGGTTGCGCAGACAGCGTGCTGTGCGACAGTAGTTGCGGTGGTGCCTCAGCGGCCAAGGTGGCATAGGTAGGAACGCTGATCGACCGTGATTGATAACCTATCTCAAGTGGGAAAGGCGCAATTAAAGTCAAGTACGCATCTTGATTTCTTTTTCCTCAATAAATCACAGGAGGCAATGTTACCTGGATCGAGGTGTATATCTGTCGGAGGCGTTCGACAGGGGTCAAAGTGATATTGAAGTGAAGGAAGCGTGGCTGAGTCGAGGCAGCGGACGTTCGGTGGGCTGGGCATTGACCGGGCCACGTCCACGCTCCCTCTCACAGGCGTCGCGCAACTGAGACTCCGCGATTTAACTCGTCCCTTGGTGGATCAGCGCTAGTCACGTGTCTCCGCCGTCATCCGCGTCCAACTCCAAGAGTTTCTGCGTTCATCTTTTTCCAGGCCATTGCCTTTTTCTGCCACCACAACACGGGGAGCTCCCAATCGCGCCCATCATCCTTCCTGCAGCCAGATTATCTTCTACCATCGTCGCGACAACAAAAAATCACGAACCGCGCGTATCACGACGCGTGTTTCTTCCTTTGACCCATCGCCATTAGTCTTTGGCGTCGCGACTTACCTATTTACCCCATCCATACCCTTGCAACCCAGCTTCCAAGCTATCGCCACATCACCGACCATGTCTGACGAGCCGACCACCAGCGGTCAATCCGCGCCTGCCGCGACTGAGGAGGTGGAGAAGAGGGTTGAAGGAACCTCGCCTGCTGCTGAAGCTTCTGAGGCCCCCGCGACTGCTGCCAGCGACGCGAAACCATCCGAGTCTGAGGTAGCTGCCAAGGAGACCACCGAGGATGCGCAGAAGGAGGACTCCAAGAACCAGGATCGTAAGTCCCTTCTCCGTCGTAACTCAACCTTGACATCAGCACTTGTATACTCAATTGGCCATCTCGCTGACGCATTGCTTGACAGCAGCTGAGACCAAAGACGCGGAATCATCCGGCAAGACAGACGAACCATCCAAGGACGAGGACGCGGACGTCGAGATGAAGGACGCGACAGATGGAGCTGAGGCGAAAGAGGCGTCTGATCCTGTTGCCGATGATGCTGAGCAAGCGCCTGCTGCTGACGCCGACGCCGCTGATGCGACAGCTGATAAGTCCAAGTCGCGTCGGAGATCGTCCGGTATTCCGGAACATAAGGGCAAGAAGCTTAGCAAGAAGGCATCGAAGGCGAAGTTCTTCAACACCAATGCGCAACCCGGCGATCACTTCCTCGTCAAGCTCAAGGGATACCCTCAATGGCCCGTCATTGTCTGCGACGAGGAAATGCTCCCCGAGACCCTGCTCAAGAGTCGTCCCGTTACGGCGAAGCGTGCCGACGGCACGTATCGCGAAGACTTTGCCGATGGTGGCAAGCGTCAAAATGACCGCACATTTCCCGTCATGTACCTCCGGACGAACGAATTGTAAGTCAATTGATGATACAAGGTCTCAACCCGACCAAAAGACGTTCGATGCTAACTCGTGATTGTCCAGCGGTTGGGTACCAAACTCTGCTCTCCAGGAGCTGAACTCCGAAAAGGCGACCGAGCTCCTCACCGACAAAGTCAAGAAGGTCGAGCTGCGCGATGCCTTCGAGCTCGCTATCGAGCAACACCCCCTTGATTACTACAAGGACGAGCTTCAGAAATACCAAGATGAAGTAGCTCAGAAGCAGGCCGCCAAGGATGCTAGAGAGGCCGCAAAGAAGAACAAGAAGAAGACTCCTGCGGTCATTTCGGACGATGATGTCGACATGGCTGATGCTGCGGACGAGGAGGAGGTCCCCGAACCCAAGGAGAAGACCAAGTCCAAGAAGAGAAAGGCGGACGAAGAAGCCGTTAGCGTAAGTTATCCGAGACGTGATAGGACTTTTCCTAGAGCTAACTTCCTACAGACCCCGGCACGGACTGATTCTGCCAAGAAGCCCAAGATCAAGCTGAACACATCCTCCACTCCTAAGACGACAAACGGAACAGCTACACCAAAGTCGGCTAAAGAGTCAGCCGCTAAGCCTGCGAAGTCCAAATCGTCAAAGAAGGAGGGTGCTGAGAAGAAGGCGGAGAAGGAAGTTCCTAAGGAGCCTGAGCTTACCGCTGAAGAGAAGCACCAACGCAAGGAGGCAAGTCAAGATGATGACAAGGCTCGCAGCCCAGGTGCTAACATATACTACAGAAGGAGGTTCTCTTCTTGCGCCATAAACTTCAGAAGGGCTTGCTTACCAGAGACCAAGAGCCGAAGGAGGAAGAGATGAAGATGATGTCAGACTACATTACTAAGCTTGAGAGCTTCCCGGACCTTGAGGTCTCGATCATCCGGGCGACCAAGATCAACAAGGTCCTCAAGGCTATTCTCAAGCTTGATTCCATCCCCAAAGAGGAGGAGTTCAACTTCAAGAGTCGTTCGCAGACGCTCCTTGACAAGTGGACCAAGATTCTCAGTGGTGGTGATGCCGCTGCTGCGTCCGCAACTCCGGCCCCCACCAATGGTGTCAATGGCACCTCCGGAAAGACGGAGGAGAAGAAGGAGACTTCTGCCGCTCCCAACGGTACTAAAGAGGAGAGCAAGGAAGCTGAAAAGTCCGAGGAGTCTGAGAAGCAGGCCGAAAAGGAGGCAAGTGCGAAGAAGTCCGAGGAGCCTGAAAAGGCAGAAGAAAAGCCCGAAAAGGCCGAGAAGCCCGCTGAAGAGCCCAGTGAGAAGGTAAGTAACAGTGTCTCATGGACATGGTGAGATGAGCTAACCAAATTCGTAGGAGGCATCTGCGGCCCCGGAAACGGATGAGGCTAAGGCTTAGGGAACCCGTTCACGTTCCCAAAAATCTTGAAAGTAAAGACAAGGCCCAGCCGACTGTGGGCGTCTCGGGCCATTTGGGCCTGGGCTCTTGCGTTTCCTGGCGTATACGGTTTCTCTCGAATCGCAAAAGCGATCTCAACTTGGTTTCGGTGTAAAATTACTTGTTCCCGTGTTTCTAAGCGGTGCAGCTGGGAATCGTTAGACGACAAGCAACTGCGGCAGTGCTGATCTCAGACGGCATGCATCGTCTTCGTCCAGTGAAGCGGGTTCATTGTACAAAGGGGTGAAGGCGCCCCCAAGGGAGAGGAATCCAGCCCAGAAAGGACAGTTTTGGCATCCACGGATGCTCGCATTGCCTGCGGCGACCGCTTGTTTGGGTTATGATGAGGCAGGTGTAGGATGGCAATGGCCTCAAGTTTTTTGAGGTAGAATGAAGCTCGCCTCAGGTCAACGGTTTGCGATGTTAGGAGGGCGAGGAGACTGGTAGTCACTAGTTCAACACGGCCTTGGAGAATTGGTTTAATGTCATTTGAATGGAAAACACCTTTTTCAAGACGTGTTTGCGTACCGACGCACTTCGTCTGCCAGTTCCCAGGCATCCAGATGTGCTATGTTAGTGGTGTTATAACCATAGGAACATTGGTATCACAAACCTTTACACACTGTGCACCCAAATAGTTCTGTCGAGTAAATTGCAGTGCTCCACGTCTCTGACACTGTGCAAGTCCGTGCTTTGAAGATGCAGACGACGCGTGCCAGTCAGAAAAGCGCGACCTCCATTGCAACGACACATCTTTTCACCGCAAACCACTCGCGACAACCCGCAAAATGAGTGCTGAAGAAGACCAAGAACCTCAATTCAGGCAGGAAGACCATCAGGTGAGTAATTCTGCTCCTCGCATGCGTGTGGGATGCTAACCTCTGTCTACAGGCTGCCTTCATCTTCCGGCCCCCTGGTGAGGAAGCTAGAGTGGACCGACCCGCCAAACGGCGCCGTTTGTCCAACAAGGCTGTTGTCGAAAAGGCGACTATCGCAACCTCTTCCTCGTTTGTGCCTCTATTGAACGGCGAAGAGCTGCCCGAGTGCGTAGCGCTCCGCGAGAAGCAATTCCAAACGAGCTGGGACCGGCTTGAGTCCAAAGCCCATGTAGGTAGAGCATCATGTCCAACTACTGGAATCTTGCGCTGAGCACGAGATCTGTCAGGGAAAACTGCGTGATGCCAACTCGGCCACTCTAGATCAAGTGACTGCTTTCATTCGTGATCAGTCTGGTTCACAGTAAGTGAGCACGGCGTGAGGTTGACTTGCACTACTGACGGCATCACAGGAGCAAAATCCCGACTGCCTTTATCATCACAGGCCCGAACATCTCATCTCAGGACCTATTGTTTGAACAATTGTCTGAAACACTTGAGGAGAACACGCGGAGCAAGTTCGTCAGGCTCAAGTCATCGGAAGCGTCCAATTTGAAGGCTGCTCTCAAGAAGATCATTGAGGATGCCACGTCCCGAGGATCTCCAGATGACGACGATGTCGAAATTGCATCCGGACAAGATGTAGGCTTTCTTTCCTCCGCTTGAAGAATGCAATAACGAGCTCACATACGTTAGGGCCGGAAGTATCTAAACTACGACCTCGAGGGTCTGTACGCGTTCTCAACAGCACAGAAATGCGATCACATTTTTGTCTCTTTCCAGGATAGCGAAGGATTCGACAGCGCTCTTCTTTCCGATTTGATCATCCTCTTCAAGTGAGTCGCTATCACGACAGATTCCAGAAGCATACTGACGCTTTGGGACCAGTTCCTGGAGACCCAAGATCCCATTCACGCTTTTATTTGGCATCGCAACATCAGTAGAACTGCTGCAGGCACGATTACTCAAATCCGCTTGCCAACATCTTTATGGTGCTCAGTTCGACGTTGTACAAACTGGAGCAATTTTGGAACAGATCTTCAAGCCGGCCATTGCGGGATCGGACGCTGCTCTGACTTTGGGAGAGAATTTGTTGCAGAGTTTCGTGGAAAGACAGCAAGACCAGGTCGCCAGCATTCAGTCTTTTATCGCATCAATCAAGGTAAGGCTTTGGACCTAAATCTGCAGCGGCCGGGCTGACATTTATAGTACGCGTACATGTGCCACTTTTATGCAAATCCGTTGAGTGTCTTTGCTGTGGAAGACGATGAAATGAACAGCGAACTGGTTCAGGACGTACATATCGAGTCAATCCGGTCGCTTCCTTCATTTCGGCGCGAGGTTGAGAAGGCCGTTGAAGCGAAGGATCTGAGATTAGCGAGGTCTTTGTTGGAGGACGATGACCTGCTGCGCGAAAAGATTTTCGACATTCCAGAGAAAAAACGGGAATGGGTCACCCGCCTTCTCCGCTCGCTCAAGCTCGTCCAGGCAACGGGAGTCGTTCAAGATAACTTTTCCTCAATGTACATGAAAGCAGTGGCCGAGGGAATTTCCCCTTCGTCCGATGGCTGGGACATTGTCGAAAGCATCAAGCGGATGCAACCGGATGACTTTGTCTCGATGCTGCAACGTGTTCAAGACGCCGTGGCCAGCGGAGATGCCCAGCTGTGTCTCACCGGATGGGAGTCCGAGGCCGGGGACCTCCCTTCTGTTGTAGAAAGCCTTCTCCGCGACTCAAAGGGGCTGCTCGGTAGAGCGAAAGAGGACGGTAGCACTTTGCGGAGCGCTTATAGTGGCCACAGCCGAGTCCTTCGCACCACCGTTGTTGCGCAAAAGGTGCAGCTCAGCCACGATTCGGCAGCCCTTTCCGAAGACGATAAAGCCTTCACCGAAATCGTGGACCGTGTCGGGGAAGTATTCCAAGACGTCATACACTGCGAACCGGCCGCAGAGATTTTCCTGCACGAGACATGGCTCTACGATTCCAAGACACCGTACCGCGACGTTTTCGTACCCCGACCCCAGGATGTCTTTGAGCGGAGCCTGAAGCGACCGCAAGACTACCTCGCATGTTCGTGCTGCAGCACCGACGAGGGCATCTCCACGACGATGCCCGTCACGTCGCTGTTGTATCATTTGTATTTGGAGACTGGTAACCTCATCAACGTCGCAGATCTATGGGCCGCCTTCTACGCCATGGTTGCCGGCGATACAGAGAGCGAAGGGAACGCCGACGAGCGGGGGGCGCTGGTATCCTTTTACCGGGGCCTGGCGGAGCTAAAAGCACTCGGCTTTGTCAAGATGAGCAGGAAGAAGACGGACCACATTGCCAAGCTCAAGTGGCTTTAGGAGCTGAAAGGCTTGTCAACGACGGCCTGTGACTGTGAAACGAGGCCGTGGCGTGAGGTTGCACGTCAGACGCGTAGTCCAGGAGAGATAATACGGGGTTTGGCGATGATGTTGTTTTGTTCAGTATCAGCGGGCAAAATTGATGCTTTACCCCTGCAGACCACCTTTCGTACGATCAGAAAGACGGATAGCGAGGCTATTTTGGAAGGGGGGGGGGGGGGGGACGGGTGCCTCTTTGAAGGAAATTTGTCATTGCGTTGATTTTTTTTAGGGTCGAGAAAAGTGTTCTTCTTGTTTGTCCTTGTCTAAATCTTGAACAAGGCCATTGTACGTCGACTTCTTTGTCTTCTAGTCGTCCGGGCCACCACGGAACCGACTGCTCAGCCCCCTTCACAAATCCAAGCTCCGTCCGCAAACCGCTGAAAGCACGGCTGTCCGATTTACCGGTCTCTGGCTGGGCAAGGGACTGTGCTAAGAGGGAGAAATATGACTAAGGGAAGGGAAATTGGGGAGGAGGGTAGAGGAAGTATGGCGAGGAGGACAAATGGGAGGAATGGGCGGATCTTGTCTCGGAACCTCCATATTCGGGGCGGAGCTGGCTTCTTGTTGCGGCCGGCACGCGACTCGTTTCTAGGCCGGCCGGACTGGAATTTCTCAGACATTTCATACGCAACGAGAAGCGCGAGCCCACCACCATCTATCCTTTCCGTCGCTGTGTCTCGCTCTTCCACCCCCTGTCGAGCTGTCACTTACCCGACCCTCTCTCTTCCTCCCCGCCCTCCGCCATGTCTCATGATGGTTTTTTAGGCGTATCGAGCAGATAAAGAGAGTCGACACACCAAAACCACCTGGACTTGTAAGTCCGAATAGAGAGCGAGAAGGAGAGAAAGCGAGAGAGAGAACCGGCAGTCTGGGTAGGGGGGCTTATTCTTCCCCAAGCCCCTCAGGAGAGAAGTAAACGCCGCTTACAACCTCGCCTGACCTTACCCAGGATGGCAAACTCTGGCCGTCAACGGACAAAGCAGTCGTGTCTCGCCTGACGTATTAGTCGCCCTGCCGCAGCCCTCCTCGTCTTCGTTTGACTTCGGGTCCCAGTCGGTCGGGTCGCTTTGGTGGAGTAAAGCGAGGAGTGTAGTCTGGATTCCTGTTGTGACGGTTTCTTTCCCGTCTTTTTTCGCTGTTCCAGCTGCTTGTGGTGCCCCCATTGCCCCATTGATCAATCATCTTTCCTCCTTTGGGCGGTTTCTGTTCTTGTTGTTTTTGTCTCTGATCAAGGTTGCTGTTCCGGATCAAAGAAAGTCATGTCGAGGGAAAAAAAAGGGGGGAACAGTGTAGTGGGAGGGTTCAATCGGCTAGTGGCCGGGCCCCGTCCCTTTGGGTTCGGTTTGCTCGCGAACATACAAGAGAGGCGGTCTTCCGCATCCTCAAATGTGTGTAAATGCTTCAACATCGATCTCTTTCAGATTTCATTACGACAAGTTTCCTATCTCGAGAATCTATAGAAGTCCATCAACGTTTTGTCACACGAACCCGCATTACTTTCTAATTCACTCTCCTGTCTATGCAGGCATAGATCTAAAGCACAGAGCTTCTGCTTTTCTATTCAAAGAAACCAAAAATAAGACGAGAGGAGAGGACGGCATCAAAGCTGAAAGACGCCACAGTCTGTTCCCACGGAGATCATCATTTTATATCTTTTGAAAAACTTTACTTCATCACTTTACTTTCTGCTGAGAACCCATTTCATCACTTGAGTCACTACTACAAAATCACTTATTTTCTCTAATCCTTGCCATCGAACCGTGCTGCCGGTACCTTGATATTCGTAATACTCTTTTTCCCCCCCAAGAAAAGCACACACAGAGCTACCGAACTTAAGACATACCAATCTCTGGGGACGAACCGCATACTCCGGAAGAGCTTGAGAGGAGGATAAAAAGGGAGCCGAGAACGCAAGAGAGGAAACACCAGAACTCAAAGGCGAAAAAAAAGAAAATAGAAGGAAAAGATGGCAACCAGACACCACCACACCACCAGCGGCGGCATTGGCAACCGGCGAGCGGCACGCAACGCGGCTTTCCAGGAGAAGATGCGCCAGATGCGCCTCCCCCTGGCTCCCCTCGTCCAAATGTCGACGGGCGCCGTCCACCCGGCGTTCCCTGCGACGTTGCTCAACTTTTGGCTTCTCACCGAGGACCAGCTCGACGACCTGGCGCGCTTCTACCACCAGCGCAGCCCCTCGCCCTGGTCTGGACAGTACCCTTGCCCCATCACTTGGCAGTCGGGCCTCACCCTGGAGGAGAAGCGCAGGAAGATTGGCAAGTTTATCGGTCTTAGGTAAGTTTTGATCGTTGGCGACGTCTTTTCAAGTGTGAGAATCATGGACTGACGTGTATATCGCAACAGAGGCTGTGAGACTCCCATTCGGATACGTATCAAGACCGAGGAGCAAATCATGGAGGAGGCGCGGCAGGCGAGATTAGCGGAGGACGAGGAGGCTCTGAGAAGAAAGATGCCTTGGTACTCATGATCCTCGAGGCCATGAAGATTGTCGTTTGAGGTTTTTGGTTCACCTTTCTTGATTTTCCTGCTTCCTTGCATGGCATTGCGTTGATATCACAACACATTTTAAGGCGTTGGTGGCAAAGCTTTCCACATAGAAATAGACCCTCTTTGGACTCACGTCTAGGAAAAAGAGGGGTCAAACAAGATTTTTAGAGACTTTCAATCAATTCATGATGCAAAAACGTGCCGACTATGACCCTGAACGCCTAAAAACCTTGAAGCCGTTGGATGCTCCTTTTCCATACACCGAGGGGGATGAGGTATCTAATGACAATGTGGACGGTGCGGAGCGCCTGAGCGCATATTGATATGTGGACGGGACGTATGATGCGTGAATGGGGTGGATTTGCGGTATAGTAGAGATGGTGGCCGTATCGCTTATTTCTTGCCCTTCTTCTTCTTGGAGGGTGTGCTGGTGGTAGAGGCGGTAGAGTCAACGAGAACGGCGTCGCCATCGATACTAGGCGGGGCGGTCGAGCTCTTCTCGGACTCGTCGAGCTCCTTCATAAACTCGGTCTGAATAGTCGATCTGCGCTTCTCCCACCACGCCTTCTCCTGCTCGACGGTGTTCTGGACCTCCTCGAGGCGGTTGCGCACAATGGTGTTGGCGGCAATCTCGTTGGCGGACTGGAAGATGGACTGACCCCAGTTAGGGGCAAGAGCGTTGGCCTGGACATCATGTTAATACACGCTCTCCTAGTTTGATCAGAGTCCCAGGCTGTGGAGCAGGTGTACTGACCTCCATCACGACGTCGCGCAGTTCATCCTCCATCTCCTTCTCTGCGCGCTGGAAGCGCTGCCACAGATCATCACCGACGCTTCCCCGCTGCAGCAACGTGCTGCAGGCCTGCTTAGCGGAACGGATCTGGACCAGACGGTGGATATCCTCAACGGCGCGGCGGAGGAGGGCGGCTTTGACGACGGTGGAGGGGATTTTGGGTGCCTTCTCGGCGCCCTCTTCCGGAGATTCGAGGTGCAGCAGCGACAGGTAGATGTTGCGCTGCAGATGAGGACCGAACCAAGGAGCAAGGTTGGCGCTCTGGGCTGTAGCATTGAAAGAGCCTTGGTCAGTATTCGTGTTCTTTGAGGAGACTGTCGGCATCGCAGGCTGCTTTGGCGCGAAGGAGGTCGGTAGAACTTACTGGCTTTGCGCTTCCTGTAAATTGTGGAAAAGGTCATGAAGACGCCGCCGAGGACCGTAAGGTAGGCGAAAGGGAGCACAAGGCTCATCCAGTCGACATCGAACATGGCTACGGTTTATTGTGCGCTCGTAAGGATCGTGGTGGGAAAGTAAAGAGGATGAACGAAGGACAAGGAGTTTGCGGTTGCAGGCAATTTGTCGTTGGTGTTGATGTAGCGTGTCCAGTACTGTACCAAAGTGACAGGACAGCTTGCCGGTCGCATTGGACACTTTTTTGGCTGCCCACTGTAAGTCAAAGGCTGTCCCGCTGCTTTACTCCGCCCTGGACCTGAGCCCTTGCACCTTGGGTTTTCTAGCCCGAGTATTGATCGAAAGACTACGATTTATTGAGAAACTGACAATAGAGTAATCCAAAGAGACATTCGACATTCGTACCTTCCACAGTACAAGTATCTCTTCCCTTTTCCATGGTTCTTTGCGTGCTTGATGAAAGCAGCTGATAAAGCGGCAGCTTCGTAGACCAGGTACAAGGGTACAAAGAGACCTTAAGCAAGGCAAGTGTGGCTGCTTGTCCGGTCGCACCTTGCCTCTCAAGCCACCCTAGCAAGGCCGTTCTCAACTGCCCCTGCTTGTGTGGTGAATAAGCTATGCCAGGGGCCGCTGAAGGAACGTGCATCCCCTTCCCCTCCGTCGTTTTGCCGGTCCCACAATAAGGCACCACCTTTGATGACGCTGTTGCAAGCTGCGGCGATTCACCTTTAGGTTGGCCAAGTGGTACGCACTGGAGCTCTCACGAACCCATCCCATCCCACTAAGCAACGGCAAAAGCAAAAGCTGCCACAAACTCGAGCCTTCTTTCCACTCCCTTACCCTGCTACAACGTCTCTTTTTTCACACACCAGCTTCGAAACGACATATGCAAGGGCATGGGCGCTCTACTTTGAAATCAATTCTATAGATTTTCCTATTTAATCCTTATACCCCCGACCTTTCTTCGACATCGATCAAACCTTCCAGAGCTTCGATTTTCGTCATCCAAGATGCTTCTGAGACTTCGAGGGCCCGACGGCACGAGTCGTCTGAATATAGACGCAAACGACACCTTTGGACACCTGGGTAGTTTGGTATGAGAGCATTCTGTTCTTCAAGCTGTGCGAGATCCGACTGACCCTTCCAGTTGATTCCGAACCTTCCAGAGACCGTCGACCCAAACTCCATAACCCTTTCAAATGCACCCACAGGTGGCGATGCTAAGAATTTGGTCGAGATCGCCTCTTTCAAGGTTGGGCAGATCGGACTGAAGTAAGCCAGCGTCGAACCTCTAACCCGAGTACAATACTAATCTTCGCAGACACGGCGATCTCATCTTCATAAATTACAAGCTCAAGGATGGCCAAGCCAACGGTGACGCCAACGGCACTGAGGCAGCTTCTCACCCTCTGGCATCCTCAAACCGACTCAACGGCAAGCCCATTTTGCCGACCGAAAACTTGCCGATCGAACCCCCGTCCGTGACGTCGCCGTCCGAGAAAATCAAGAACCCCTGGGACGTGGTCAGGCAACATCCACTAGACGATCGATTAGACAAGAAGGATGGCAAGATTCCGAGAGGCCGCGACCACAAGATGTGCCGGCATGGACCGAAGGGCATGTGTGACTACTGCATGCCTCTGGATCCGTTCAACGCGAAGTACCTGGACGAGAAGAAGATCAAATACCTGTCGTTCCACTCGCATCTGCGGAAAATCAACTCTGCTACGAACAAACCTGAACTTGGGAGCTCTTATATCCCGCCCCTTGTAGAGCCTTACTTCAGAGTCAAGCGCGACTGTCCTTCGGGCCATCCTCAGTGGCCTGAAGGTATCTGCACCAAGTGCCAGCCGAGCGCCATCACCTTGCAGCCGCAGCCATTCCGTATGGTGGACCACGTGGAATTTTCGTCGCCTGCTATTATCGACACGTTCATCGACGCTTGGAGAAAGACGGGAGGTCAAAGATTGGGCATCTTGTATGGCCGGTACACAGAGTATGAGGTTGTACCTCTCGGCATCAAGGCTGTCGTCGAAGCCATTTATGAGCCGCCCCAGATCGATGAGGTGGATGGAGTGTCATTGAATGCGTGGGAGAACCAGAAGGATATTGACGAGGTCGCAAGGCTCTGCGGGCTACAGCAGGTCGGCGTCATTTTTACTGACCTTCTGGACGCTGGAGCAGGCGACGGATCAGTCGTTTGCAAGAGACACGCTGATTCGTACTTCCTGGCTTCGCAGGAAATCTGCTTCATCTCACGTTTACAGGCTCAGCACCCAAAGCCCACCAAGTGGAGCGATAGTGGCAAGTTTGGATCCAACTTCGTCACTTGTATCGTCTCGGGCAACGAGTCGGGAGAGATCTCTATCTCATCTTACCAGGCTTCCAATGACGCTGTGGAGATGGTCCGCGCCGATATTATTGAACCCTCAGCTGATCCCAACGTGATGCTGGTTCAAGAGGAAGAGGAAGACGACGGATCCACGAGCCGAACAAGATACATCCCCGAAGTTTTCTACCGTCGGATCAATGAGTACGGTGCCAACGTACAGGAGAACGCAAAGCCATCGTTCCCCGTGGAGTATCTCTTCGTGACCCTGACACACGGATTCCCGGATGAGTCCAAGCCTACTTTCACCCAACTAGGTTTCCCCGTCGAGAACCGCGAGTACCTGGGCGAAAGTCAAGAACACTCTGCGGCCGCTAGGATCCTCAAGTTCTCGGGCGGTCAGAAACCCGCCGAAGGTGGCTTGGAAATGTCTAACTTCCACCTGCTCACCTTTATTCGCCAGATGGGCATTCTATCCAAGGTGTGTTGTTCACGCTCATTTGGAAGCTTGTTACTTACATATTCTAGGACGAAGAATCGCTCTTATGCCGAGTTGCATCGCAACATGACCTGGCTGACAACTATCAGCTGCGATCTACTGAGGGCTGGAGGACTTTGCAGGCGATCCTGCAATCGACCGGTGAGCGAATCCCCAAGCGCCCACGGCAGTCCGAGGGCCATCCCGCTTCCAGTGAATTGCATGATCTATCTGGGCGCCAATCCAGGACCACAGAAGAACCCCTAGCTAAACGATTTGCTGCCTTCAGGCTGAACGAGCGTCGCCCACCTCGGTAAGCAGAGCAATTTCGTGAGATGTGCTCTGTGAATCCGTATGTTTGACGCAACTGGGTGTCATCAAGCGATGATGCGGACCCTAGCAAAAGTATCTCTCGAAACTCTTGAGAACTGCAGAAGGGAAATGGTTGGGGATGCATGCTCATGCAATTGGCCAAAGTTGACAGGCCTGGTGTTCGGGGATCAGGGAAGCACGTAATGGCATGGGAGGCACTTATCGTCCTTGGGCAGGTAGAAGCGATTAAAGGCACCTGTACCTTAGTCAACAGTTCCTCCGGACTAGAAGGGGCCTGGGTTCAAATAGGGAACCTAAACCAAACAGCCTGGTCTTCTAATCCAGTGTTTACAATCTTCAAGATTCAAACCAATTGACCTCAGGGTCTGCTTTGCTCTATACACCACCAAATTCCGAGCTCAAGGTGGCCAATCATGAAATCATGGTAATATACCTCATCACGCCGTCTGCCAGTTCTTGATAATATGAAGGCCCAGCGTGTACTAAGTTCCATTACCACGGTCATTGTCCAGAACCAGTTTCGAGATGAGGATACAGCAGGAGCATGGAAGTCACACCTGGAATGAAAGCAGAGGAAGAGAGGTTTTGTTTTAAACAAGTTCTTTTCTTTTTCAACTAGAAAAAAGGGGTAAAATAAAAACAAAGTTCCTTATTTTTTTAATCCACCCCCTTGCCAATATCACCATCGCCCTTCGCCGATTTCGAGGTCTTTGTTTTTTTTGTTCGTAGAAACGACAACATTTCCGGCTAACCTAAAACTCCAAATTTTTTGAAAAATAAAGATGCCAATAAAGTTTGTGGTATTTACAAAGGCTTGCCGCCAAGGAAGTTGGACCACGGGCGAACTTCGGAGGGGATACCTTCCTTGCGGGGGAGCTTCTCGCTCATGCATTGAGCAAAGAGCATGGCAGTCTAAGTTCGTAAGTTAGCACATTTTCATCTTCCTGCTTCTGTCATGGTGATTTGGCGAACTTACCTTGGGCTCCATGAACAGAGGGACGCCAAAGTCGACGGCGTTGCGACGCATGACGTAGTCGACGTCCATGACGGTCTTGCCACGGGCCTGGGCCAGGTTGAAGACACCGCGGATGTCGTACTTCTGGAAGACCTCACGGAGGGCGCGCTTGTCCTCCTTGGGGAACTCAATGACCTCGACAGAGACCTTGCCCTTGGCGCTGGACTCGATGAACTGCTTCACCTCGTCATCGGCGGCGAACAGCTTGTAGCCCATGGGGGCGAGGTAGTTGACGACGGTGGGGAGCCACTCCTTGTTCAGCTCACCGCCGAAGAGGAGACCTTCACCGGGTTCGGGCATGCGGAAGTTCATGGTCGACTGCAGGGATGTCCAGTAGGCCTCGACGAGGTCCTTGCCGAAGCAAGCAATCTCACCGGTGGAGGCCATCTCGACGCCGAGGAAGGGGTCGGCACCGGCGAGACGGGTCCAGGAGAATTGGGGCACCTTGGTGGCGAGGTAGTCACGCTTGACGGCCATGAGGTCGACAGGCTTGGGGACGTCCTGGCCGACAAGAGCCTTGGTGGCCGCATCAATGAAGTTGGTGCCCAAGACCTTGCTGACGAAGGGGAATGAACGGGAGGCACGGAGGTTGCACTCAATGACCTTCAGCAGAGGCTCGCCGCCCTCAGGGTTATCGGCCTTGATGATCTGCATGTTGAAGGGACCGGTGATGCGCCACGCCTTGGCGACACGCTCAGCAATGTCCTTGACACGGTCCATGGTGGTCTGGTCAATGTTCGCGGGGGGAAGGACCAGGGTAGCATCTCCAGAGTGGACACCGGCCTGCTCAACGTGCTCAGAGACGGCGTGGAGGATCAGCTTGCCCTCAGATGCGACACCATCGACGTCGATCTCCTCAGCGCCCTCAATGAACTTGCTGATGACGACGGGGTGGTCGGGCGAGACGTTGGCCGCAGCCTCA